CATCCACCCGCGACTCCTCGGGTCCAGTGGGAGCCGAGGAGGTTGGTTAGTGGATGTCAGAGTTAGTGACTGGCTGTGTATTTGAGGATAGTCCAAGGTGAGACTGTCTGGTTGCGTTGAGGGTTGAGAGGGTAGGTAGTTGTCGGGCTCATGTTTTAACGTTTCCGTTGATGTGCTGGTACTTGGGGAGGCAGGGCTCGTCCGGTAGAGGATCATGGGAAAAGACAGAGTCGTCACTGGAGGAGCAGGAGCTGCGAGTGTCTGGGAAGCTGGGAGAATACTGCTCTGCTGGGGCACACAGGTCCAGATACTCCTGCAGACACAGACGGAGGGAAGACAAGGTTGCATGAGATCATTTACACTCACACACAACTTCGTGTTTTAGAAAAGAAAAAAACACATCAAAGACGTGGGAGGCAGAAGGCGAGGAAGAGAACATAAATATAGTGCTAAAAACTATTCAGTGAAAAGGGACTTTCCACAGCTGAGTTAGAGAGCTGGGAGGGAAAAGAATCACCTTTATGATGCTATTTGTCCAAATAGCACAACATTCCTCTCTTTTTTTAAATGGAGCAGTTTATGAACATACACGAGGAATGCAGTCATTTTCTAATGAAAACAATTCCTCCTTAAAGTCCTTTAAATGTAAAATGTCTGGTACTTTTTCATATTTTTTTGCATGCTTATAGATGGATGTGTTTCTCAGTAAATTTGACACAGTAGGTGGCAGCAATGCAAGTATAACTTTTTCAAATTTTCAAATTTATGGCTGTAATTTTACTGTCCTGGAATATTTTCTTTTACATTCCGCAGACGATCTGTGGTTTCCAAACGAAAAATCCAAACATACTTATTCTTGTGGAAAAGTTTTGAGAAAGTTCGATGATTACAACTACATAAAACCAAATGGGACCACAACATAGCAATGCATTTAGAATAATGTAGTTACCAAAAAAACAATCTTTGTTTTTCATTTGCATGAAATGTAATTAGCTTAAATGCTTCACTTTCTAGTAGATTCACAAACAGCAGGGCTGACAGTTAGCTGCAGCCGTAGTGTCTGCCCCCGTGTAACATTTGACGTTGTTCTGAAGTCCACGTAAAAGAGGAAGACATAAAAGGACCTTAAGTCCATCACCTCACGTCACTCACGAGCTCAGTCTAAACACCACTGACACCCGACTCCAACGTAAATGCAAGAGAGACGGCTGGAAGGGATAAAGCCACTGGCAGACCGTGCTGAACTCCTAGAAATGAGGATATGGAGGACGAAGCCCCTCCAGAGGTCCTGTTCTTCATTTTTTCCTGAGTCCAGTGCTGTTAGTAAATCTTGCTGCTCTTCATCTTCGTCTGAGGCACTCTTCTTTTTCGCCTCCGAGTCTTTTATGGCTGTTACTGGTGATAGTTGTGAGGAAGAAGAGTTCTTGGGGTTTTCTTGTAAACGAGCACTGGTTCTATTTTCCCAGCGCTACAGGAGAAAGCTCACATTACTGAATAAGTCCACATCTGCCAGTGGTTTAAGGGAAAGAAGGGGGAAGCAGGGTGAGAGGGGTGAGGGGCAAGAAAGGGGTGCTTTATTCTCTTTCGTTGTTGGTTGTCAATGTTGAATTTTGTCTGCGTATTTTTTACTGAACCCCGGCTCTACAGCAGACGAGTCTTGACAGCCTTTCATTGACGGCCTCTCTTCACATCGGCATGCGGAAATTACACAAGACAAGAGGGGGTGGAAAGTAAAGCAGGCCATTATAGGGACCGGGGCATGGACGTGATGATTGGGCAAATTTGTAGGGCTGTGACAGCCATGTTTGGCCTGGACCAAATCTTCAGGTTGAATCTCTGGTCACCACGTTGGTGCCTTTGTAATGGAACAACGCTGCTAATTCTCCTAACTTGAAGCGAAATTTTCTCTAACCCAGGAAGGCCTGGCAGGACGGTGATTTAGTTTGGACTGTGAAAGATTTTAGTGTGTGTAGGAATGTACTATTATTTTTCCTCTTTTATTGTCAAGAAATTCTGGACACTGCCAGGAAATTATACTCTCCGTGTAGCGTGATTCCTGACCACCCAGAATGCTGAAAGGTTATGAAACAGCCGAGTGTGAAGATGAAGGACAGAGCCGCACTCACCTCGTTGGTGTTGAGGGTGAGGATTCGGTCCAGATCCTCCACCAGCTGCTTGAAAGTGGGTCTATGGGATGAGATAGCGTGCCAGCAGTCTTTCATCATCATGTACCTGGAAAAGTCAGGAGAGGTGTGAGATTAAGTAGAACACTAAATGGTTTTGTTTGTCCATCTGATCTCAGGCTGGAGCTCACTCGTGAACTGTTTAAGTTTTTTTTTAATGAAAAACATTCAAAGATGGAAAGCAGAAACTCTGCATTCGATTTTCTTTGATTTTTACCGTAGCCTTAACTGTCACATCTTTTATCCTGTGCTCTGGGAGATTTATTCAACTGAAGAACTTCGAATAAGAGTTGTTTGTTGTTTGTTTAGCTTGAAAAAATACTGACTGAGCATTTCATAAGAAGATTTGTGTTTTTTTAATGCATTTCTGAAGGAGACGATGGTATATGGAGTCTTTTTAACTTCCTGCTCCTGATTAGTTGCTAGACTGAAGTTGTTCTCTTTTTTCTTGCCACTGTTGAACTATGGAACAAGGCTTAAAATGAATGAAGAGCTTAATGGCAGGCAGTCACAGCTGTACAGACGCCTGTTGTTCAAGAGGACAAGTGTTGAGATGACAGAGTGGCAGAAAAGAGTAGTACTCACAGCTCATTGGTGCAGTTTCCAGGCTTGTCCATGCGATGGCCCTCTTTAAGCAGCTTGAAGAGCTCTTCAACAGGCATGCCAGAGGAGGTTTAACCCCCGAGGGTGAAGATCTCCCACATCAGCACCCCAAATGACCAGCTGATTGATTAAAAAAAACACCCCACATGACCAGCATTCATTAATATTCAGGGAGTCAGACGGAAGGATGTGTTCAAAAATACACATTATTGGAATGTTTTCACCCCGTCCCTATCGCATTGGGCCAAACCACTGTTCATTTCCTGAAATGCAGATAATTTACAAAGAGTCACTGAAGCAAAGTTTGGAAACGACTCCAACAGTGTGACAGCAGTGGTGTCAATGCCCTCTTTCTGTCGTCCGGTGGCTTGTGGCGCAAACCCGCTCCCTGTGCCACTTTGGCCCTGATCTCAATGGTGGCTTTTGTGCCCGACTGGCCCGTTACACAGGCTGCTATTGTCCAGGCTCACACCAAAACAAACAGAAGACCACCCACAGCAGACAAAACAGGGAGGGGGGACAGAGCAAGGGATAAAGAATATTAAGTATTAACTACTTCCTCATAGCAGTACACATTCATTAACCAGCTCCCCACACCTATGCTGCTTATTTCTGTTAAAATTCTAGTGCATTGAAAAAAATCTATATTTAATGATTGATACATGTGGGGAAAAAAAATCTGATCTGAAAATGAATGTGCAGTTTTGCACATGCTATAATGCCTTAGGCCATGTTAATGATCCAAGCAAGCATGAGGCCAGTGGCAAGCAGGCTAGCCCTTTATCAGTTCCTCCATCTGTTTACACAGGTTTGGGCTCTCCTCTATCGCAGAGTTGTATCTCTCCACTTGTTGACACACTCAGCTCTTCTTTCTGTGCTACTTTGTAACCGTCTCCATGTGCTTGTCGGCCCGCTGGTCTGCACAGGGCTACGTCCACTGGCGACCGACCATGACACAACTAAATAAACACCCACACCTACATGCTCCGGGTCACTTTCACAGATTTGACTTTTAACCTTGTAAGAACGCGTGGGCAGAAGTTTACAGCAGGAGTGTCTTCCATTTTTGAGTTCGGACACAAACACTACTAAAAGTAGCTAAAAGTGCACTGTTTCTACTGTGAGTGCAACTGAAGTGCACATGCACTGAAGTAAATGTTTAGTACAAGATATTCTATTAGTGAAAGTTCATTTTAGTTCATTCTACATGGCAGTATAGCCCAGGGGATAACTCCTCTGACAATAGTGCAGGAGACATGGGTTCAAATTCCATTTTTCAGGATGTGGGTCAACGTAGGCTAAAGCTAAGGCGACCAGGTGAACATGAAGTTGATAACCACTCAATACTAGTGCAAACATCAGCAGGTCTGTAAACTGGTACGTGAGTATTAGCTGAAGGTTTCTCTTCTGAGTGATAAGGGAATTAGACCCCGACCACTTAGCCTGGCCGTGACTCCATCACACTGAGCTTGTATTACAACTCTTAACCCTGGCCAACATCAGCCACAACTCCATCCCCAGGGTCCATTTATCAAAACAACATGGAGTGAGTTATATTGGAATTCATGTATTCATTGAATCTGATGTCATGTATGGATTGGTTGAGCATCTAGTGATGTTTGAGAGTAAGCACAACAACTGCCCTCACACCTCTCCCCTCCTCCCTTTATATGTTAGGTGAAAGCCAATTACTAAAAGTGAGTGATGAAACTTAATTAGCAGCAAGCTGACAGCCCCCCTTCCCTCCCCCCCAGTTCCCCAACCCCTCTCTCGTTCAGCTCATGCACTCCCACAGTTTATTGATTGATGCTGTGCTATGGAACATGAAGGACGTCTAGCATACATAGAGCATGCATGTATTATTTATGTGCACAAATCAGTACACAGAAATGCAGACAGTCTAGAGATATTCCATCTAAGTCCATACGAGGACGCACAACATCTCCTTTCCTGTGTTTGTCACCATCCTGGTCATTTATCCAACTGCCACATGCACATTTGTGCTTCCAGTGTCTGCTGCAGAAACTTCAAACGAAACTGTCAGAACAGATAAGACTCACACTGCAAAAAAGAGCACGAAGCGCTCTCTTTGTTCTGTTTTTAGAAGAGCGCACTTCAGTTCAGAAAAATGTAGTGACATCGATGGGTCAACAAGTCACTTTCCAGATAAATGAGCACAGGAATGAAGCCCAGGAGCGAAATATTATTTCCATAATGGATCAGCTACAAGAGGAAAAGCCATGTGGCTTTTCCTCTTGGTGAAAGTGTGGCTGGATGAGGGAAACGGGACGGTGGCAGAGGGTGTATGGTGGTTGTAGGGCAAATGAGGCCCAACACAGAAGGGTGGGGGTTATAGGTTGTGGGTGAGGAGGCTCTTCTAGGGATCTTTGAAGCCAGTTAGATTAGTAACACAGCATTGGCTACAAGTCTAGCGTGAAATCCTCACTTTTGCCACAGACTTGCTAACGTTGGCCTTCTATAACCAGACCTCCTGTCCCATCGAACTCACATCAGCCCCTCCCCTAAACACTATCACCACTAATCTCTGCTCTCTTCCCCAAAAACACCATTTTAATCTGACTGGGTTTTTGATAACTCCTCAAAGACTGTGTTAAACTCAGAAATGTGCAGAAATGTGTTCTTTGATTTGTGAGAAGAGTATTTCGGTTCTGTAAGTACTTACACGTCACTCTGGTGTGTGTAGACCCGATCAAATAGTGCTTCTGGTGCCATCCATTTTACCGGGAGACGACCCTGAGGAAAAACAGCAGTTGTGGGATTAAAAAAAAACAAAACAGGTCTGATCAGCATGTTTCACATAATTCACTGTTACAAGATCTATTTACTGCTGCAAAGCCTGGGGAATACAGTAGTAACTGGGTGGAGGAGACCCCAAAGGAACATTTAGACTGTTAATGTAAAAGAGTGGATTATCAGAGTCTCAGATTAAGAAGAATTATTTCCACACCAGCTGAGAATCAAAACCAGTTGATGAATATCTGTGAGACGGTCTGAGGCAAAAACTATTTCATCTCATTCTTAGTAGCAGTTCAAAGAAACTGCATCTGTTTATGTAAATGATCATGTGTTAGAAATAATGAGCCAAAACCTGACGCATAGTGTAGAAAAATCTGTGCTGTGGATTTTCATAATTTACTCAGGTCATAAGTGACAGCTCTTATTGTGCAGCTACATCTCTTTTATAATTATTAGACGAAAGAAAAACTAAACACACCCATAACAATGTGCTACAACAATGGCGGCTTTGTCTAGAGGTCATAAATAAGAGATCAAAATTGTAGCTACTGTCATTTAAGTAATTATCATGACTATCATCCTTACTGCATATTGTGTTTGTTGTTGTTGTCAGATTCTTCCCAGCATAAGGTGGAAAAGAAAACCATGCGTGCTAAAAGAGAGTGCGCAGCTAATGCTCCTCGACTGTGGGAAATACATACACTTTGGAGATTGTCAATTACATTTAAGCCGTTTCCCTCGCGCTCTAACTTGTCTCTCTTTCTGTGTAATTGTCAAAGTGTCTGTGGAACCAAAGCAATGAGAGACTGAGGGATAAACAAGGCACAGTCTCCAGCAGCACCACATTCACAGGCTGCATGGGAAACCACAGCTTCTGCCAAGACACCAGCTGAGGGATAGAGCGAAGTAGAAGGGTGAGGGAAGGGAGGGATGTGAAGAAGAGAGGAGCATGGGTGGGCTCATCGCACGCTCTAGCTCTTAAAGACATTGCTCTCCATCAAAGTGATCATTACTGGTGTGTAACGTGCAGACTCAGGACTCACATTGGTCGTCTTTTTATAGTAGTCGATGTTATGGACGTCTCTGGCCAGGCCAAAGTCAGCAATCTTCATCACGTTGCTTTCTGTGACCAGGACGTTTCTGGCAGCCAGGTCTCTGTGAATACACTGTGGGGCAGAGCAGGACAGGAAGAGGGGTGAGGGGAGGGGAAGAGAGGGGAAAAAGACAGTTTACAATTTGGTCAATAAATACACTTGTTAGAAGTATATTTTTAACCCTTGACTGTATATCGTGACGCCGCGGCGACTGCACCAACAGGACCTGTCTGTATGAGTAAAGATTCCTTTCATGCTTTGCTATGTACTGTATAGGGAGACTTTAGTGTACATATGCAAGTGTGTGTGTGTGTGTTCTCTGACATTCCACCTGTTTGAGGGAGCGTGAGTTTGTGTTCGGCCAACATGTCTGTACCCCATTGTAAAAATGTCCAAACAAAGACTCTTTTGTTGTGGACTGAGAGACAATGTGAGGCCTGGGCAGAGAGTCTGATTTATTTTGGTGTGTGTGTGTGTGTGGGGGGGGGGGCATCATTACTACAGTGACGTACTAGAAAGTATGACCCGACGTAGGGGACAAGAAATGTTCCATGTTTGTTCCATATTTTTCTCTTACCTTCTGAGATGCTAAGTACTCCATGCCCCGTGCCACCTGGTAAGTGCAGGACACCAGGTCTTTAAAGGTGAGCTGTTCATCGGAGACACGGGCAATGTCGTAGGAGTATTCCATGCCCGGTGGCCGACGTGCTCGTAGGTACTCCCTAAGGTTGCCTTTTGAGGCGTACTCCACTATCACATATAGAGGACCTGGAGTTGAGAAGAAGCCACATTATCTTTTAAACATAACAAACTTTTAGGGAAAAGTTCAATCATTTTTTTTGTTGCAATTCAGAAACTAGAGGTACATGTCGTGGGTGCTGAGAATTCAAAAAGACAAATTCAATCATTTAAAGTAGAAAAGAGCTAACTGCTTCTCCTGGCAATTTCATTTGTTGAGCTTATTCACAAGATTTTATGTTTAAAAGGTTATGCAAGTCTAAAGTTGATAAAACTTTATACTTATTGAATGATGTTGCTTTTCACCTAAGGGTAGGAAATGAGCTCTGGAGTAATTCTATCCATATGTAATTCGTCCACACTTTTAGCCTTTTTATTTGTTTTTTAACATGTCTTGGTTAGCATTTGTTTTGGGGCTCGATTTTACCAAAGTGTGCAAATAAAAAACATAAGCAAAAAGCTTACAGTTCTGTGAATAAATTTAAGACCAGGATTTAACCAATATGTAATTAAAATGCTATAAAAAAACAAACCTCTAAAAACATGTGGAAAATGGTAACATGTGGAAAACTGTAAAAAGTTACTTCCTCTCCTTGATGTGAGCTGTAAAATGTGTTGGAAAAAAGTTGCTGGCCTCACGTCCCTGTCATGTACCACAAATGGCCTGGAGCCATATTTTGAATAATCTAAATCCAATGTACAAATACTAGAGTCGTAGTACTACTCACCATCTTGTGTACAGGCCCCCAGAAGATTAATGATGTTCTTGTGTTTGCCAATCATCTTCATCATCTCCATCTCTGACACCAGGTCAGACAGGTCCTTTTCGGTGGCGTCATCTAAGAACGAAAGAGGACAATGATTAAAGGTTGTCAGACAAATCCCTGCTTCGATGTGAACCCACAACTCTGGAGTCGGGGGCTGAAACTGACAGACGACGCTGTCGCTCTGTCAGGTTTTTGACGAAACACTGCTTCATAGCTACATCTGACAGACAAACTAGGCTAAAGTTACAGCAGTCAGACAGAGCAGTGAGTTGAAGAAAAAAACCCAGGGATGCTTTCAGGGGCGTATAAGGAACTAAAGACGTTTAATCTAGATTCATTATCTGCTGCACAAACGACTTTTACCTCAGACTGATGGAGCCAGTAGGAGTATCCCTGAAGTCATTGCCTACATTCTTCTACATAATTACCCTACCTGAAGTGGTTTTAAATAGAATTTTTTATGGGCAATTCAGGTCCAATCGCCTGCTGTGTTACCTGATCTAACCACCCCAACCAACCCAGGTCTCCTCCTAGAGTTACTACAGTCACCCACCTCTTTGTGTTGGTGCTGAGTGAAATCCAGCCAGCTGCTGCTGAGGTCAGGTATGTGACCGCCCTTAACCTATACCTTGCCCCCCGAGGCGCTCACTCAGCAGCCACCAATAAGAAATAATAATAATGCTAGCTGCAGGCTCGACTTTACCTAAAAGTCATCTGTGAATATATCCATGTGGCCCAAAAGACTGAATGAATCGGTGCATCCCTCAACACAGCAGTTCGATTTGAAACGTAAAAGCAACAGGTTGACCACTGCACTTACCTTTCAACATCTTGACAGCGACAGTTACAGCTTCCTTAGGTTTGTCCTTATCGATGCCCAGGGCCTCTGCCATTACAACTTGGCCAAAGCAGCCTTCTCCAAGAGGTTTGCCCAAGGTCAACCTGCGGCGGGAAAACAAGGGCAAACAGTCAGGACACAGATTATCCGCTGAAAAACAAACTACAGTCCCATGTACTTGACCTGGCTGCGGCATCGATTCCCTCCCTGTGCAGACATAAACAAGTTAGAGAATAACAGTGACACAGGGAATGAAACCAGGCACTCGGCCAGTTCCTAAACCTCACCCCTTTCTTTTATTTTCACTATCTCACTCCCTCTGCCTCAATCAGATTGTGTCTGTGTGAGAGCTTTATTGGCGCTGTGACTGCAGCCCATGCCAGGGCAGTGGGGACGAAAGCAGACATGGCAAAGATAATCACCTGATAAAGCCAGAGAGAGGCACTCATTTATAAACCGGTCACCCTGCCTTGGCATGTTGTACTATACTGCACGCTTTACAAGCCATTAGACGCCATTGGCACATCGGCCCGCGATGGACAAAATGCTGTTTTGTTTTTTTCTAACCAAATAACATTCATATGTACTTCCAATATTAGCCATGTCAAACTACTTGAAGGGGAAGTATGCAACAGTTGTCACATGCTGTTCGCAAAAATAACCCCCCTTCTCCTGCTGAGGGCAGTACAGTTGTTGTGTTTTCCATTAAAATAATCTTCTTACTCAAAACACTTTCCACAAACTACTCGAGTTACTGGTGTGCTGGGTAGTACAGTATACTACAGTCCAGATCACCAACTGTTCTGTGGTTCCTTACACCTCCAAACCTACAGTTTGAAACTGCATTTTGAAACAAACAACAACACAATTTAAAACCTTTCCTCCTTCATTTCAACCTTGGATAAACCTGAATTGTTTTCAGTGACGCATGAGATTTAATTGTAACAATTTCGGTCACCTTCAAGTCCCGGCTAAGTAATGCTAATTTGTCATCCTTTGAATTGCAGTAATGCCAACTACTTTACACTTGTTAAGATTTTGCTCAAAAGCAGCTGTGGATACATTTTTATTTTTGTTTAAAAAAATCTGACCACCTAAAACTTTTAATAAATCAACACTGAGACTTTTTGCTGAAGCCATTATATGTTTAAACAACACGACCAATCAGAACCACATCCTCATCTCTCAACTACTACGACACTAGTGCTAATATAATTTTCTTTCAACTGACTGATGTTCCTCCCACTCTACAGTCCTAATTTCCTGGCTATATAAACAGTCACACTGCGTGCTGCAAAGACTGTGGCTCTGGGCCCGCGCCCTGCTCCAGTAACACAATGCTGTTTCTGTCCACACACATGCTCAATGCCAACCATTCTGTCCATCCATCCACACATAATCAATGTTATTTCTTTACTCCATGCAAACTGCAAACGTTAGCATTCCTCTGTGCTCTGCAATCCAGACACGAACCCTCAGGCGCAACTATGACAGGCAAGAAATAAAAACCCTAGGAGAAAAAAAAACTGGTGAATTCAGAATGTCAGATCATCAACAGAATGACATGCTGCATGGACCAAAGTTGTTCGGCATTACGTCAGAAAAAAATGACGTGGGATAATAAAATTTATATTCCAGACATTTTTTACAAGCGTCTTAACGAAAGACAGACGTTCACCTTTATAGTCACTCCACTTTTTCTTCAAAACCAAAGCCTCATGTGAGCATTAAACAACGCTTAACCTTTGCTGTCCTGTTTAATCCACTCCAAGTCTTATCACTGGCTGCTGAAACGTGACTAACTGAAACCTTAGTGGTGATAATTCCTCTGGTATGAGACTGAGCAAACACTCCCGGTCCAAACATGCAGATGAAAGCTGCCAGTGCTAACCACTAATTAACAGCGTTTCATTCCTCGTCATCAGAAGCATCTGTGTGTGTGTGTGTGGGCGTGCGTGTGTGTGTGAGTGAGAGTGAGATGCAGCAGAGGTTTGGATGATGAGACGGGGGCAGGGGGCAGCCTGCCAAGCTGAGGTCATTTCACTTCAAGATTAAACCATTATTCAGCAGGTTAATCATTACTGCCTGTTGTCCATCAGTGTTAACAATGCTTTTACAACAACAATGGGTCTTCAGTGATAGTTATATGGTCATTTAGTAGCTTACATACAATCAAACAGATGCTGACTGTGTTGTAATGTTGGTGCTGTCAGCTGGATGTTTAAATGTGAAAATAACATAAGAGCAGGGTTGGTCTTCATGTTTTCCACCTTTTAATTAAACACATTGTGGTCACTTAAATATACGTTATGTTTTAAAAAATATAAATATATATATATATATTAAAATATAAAAATATATGAACCTTAAAGCTTTCATTTTTTTATTTTTATAGCTATTCAAGCTGTCTAAAGACTGAATGTGATGTTAATTACAACTAGGCAGCAAATTCAGCCATATTTAAAAAAAAATTGATCAATTTCAGTAAAAACTAAAATTTATCTCTTCCAAGGAACTGAAGGCCCCACAATAATTCTGTGTACTTGAG